AGAGAGAGAGAGAGAGAGAGGAAGGAAAGAAAAGAAAGAAAAGAAAGAAAAGAAGGAAGGAAAAGAAAAGAAAGAAAAAAAAAGCAGGCAGGCTGGCTGGCTGGCTAAAGATCTTAGTATGGGATTAGGGATGTGTAACACCAAAAATGGAAAAGTAGCAAGATGAAAATATAAGGTAAAAAAGGGATGATGTGATGATGTGCTTAAATGAGAAAGGAGATGAAAGTCAATGTAAAAATGAAACAAAATGGCTTAGCTAAAAATAGCCAGATGAAAAAGTCTTCATTTACAAATTTCTTGGACCTACATTCAATAACCATGAAATGTATATCACACTAAAAGAAACATTTAGGGGGCTGGGGAGATGGCTCAGTAGAATAAGTGCTTCCCTAGCAAGCACAAGGGCTATAGTTCAATCCCCAGTTCCGCCAAACCCCCCCCCAAAAAAAACCATTTAACAAGGAAAATTTAATAAAATTTAACAATGTAAGGCACCTTAAAATCTTTTAAATCAATGTTCTTCTTAACAGAAAATAAGAACCCACAGTACCTATATACAAGTAACAAAGATGACAAGCAAAAGCTAGGAAAGAAATTAATCATGTAAAGGCAAAACTAAAGGAAAAGGGGAAAGGCGTCAATAAAAACAAAATTGAATGCCTTACTTTTCTAACTCTTCAGGATCAAATTTCCACCAAGTTTCAGGTTCATGAAACTCTACTCTGTATCCTTTTCCTATGGCCTATGCAGAGGGCAGAAAACAAAAACCCAGAGAATTGTTCTTAAAGTAAAAAGGCACACAATTATCTTTAGACAATATTTTGAAATGTTCCTTAACCAAGAAAAACTCTACAAAATAATACAATTTATAAAAATTTTAAGGCTGTATAACTGGATAAATCCCAATTATTATCCTCAAATCCAGGAATAACAAAATGAACACATTCCTTAATATATACCATTCCCTTTTTCTTGGGGGTGGGGTAGGTACCCCACGGGGATCAAACTCAGGGCCTTGAGTTTGCCAGGCAGGCACTTAGGCCACTGAACTATTTCCCCAGCCCCATTCCCAATTTTTGAAAAATCAGACCAAGCAAGAAATCTCTTTAGAGCAAAGAAACATTTTAATAAGGGTTAGCAAGACTATTCAGTGGACTAAGTGCCTGCTTAGGCAAGTGGAGGGACCAGGGTTTGAACGCTGGCACAAGCAATGCCAATCCCACCCCCAGACACTCTGCGCCAGCCACCAACTGCAATCCCAGCACTGGTGAGGCTGAAAACAAGAGGATTACTACTAGTCCAAGAGTAATAAGACCCTGTACCAAGTACATTAAAAAAAAAAAAGAAGCAAATTAGACCAAATCTTCAAAAATATGAAAAAATTAAACAGAATAAAAAAAATTCATATTTACCATTTCCACGTACGGTTTCATTTCCCAAGCTTGTGTATTAGTGTTGTCTATTATAACTGGGGATCTCCCCTGAGCAATAGCTTGTTTTGCTGAAGCAAAAAATAAGAACAAAAAATAGAACTATTAAAATATACAAAAAATATAAATATCCATTAAGAAGTACTCTACATCTCCATGTTTAAAACCAAAACTGTACAATATCTTGAGTCAATGCCATGAAAAACAAGGACTACAACAAATTAAAAGGGAAGTAAGAGACAGGGCATGGTGGCACATGGCTGTAATCCCAGCTCTTGGGAGGCTGTAAACAAGCAGATCACTATGAGTTTGATCTAGGAGTGAGATCCTGAATACCCTGTAGACCCTTCCCTAAAAATACAAAAAAAAAAAAAAAAAAAAAAAAGGGAAGTAAGAGATATAAGATATGACACATATATTCTCTAGACTGCATGCTGGTATTGACAAACTGGCTGTAAAAGACATTTGGGATATGAATATATATTTGGTTGTTGCAGGGTCTCACTATGCAGCTCAGACTCATAGTGATCCTTCTGTTTTCAGCCTTCCTAGCACTGAGATTATAGGCATGCACCACTACCTCTGTGGCTGGCTCAGCCCACCCTGGGAGCAGGGCTGGCACAGTACGTGGCACAGCATTGTACCATGGTCCCTCCATTTGCCTAAACTTGCCTAAGCAGGTGCTTTAATCCACAGAGCAACTTTGATGGCCCCAGACAATCATATTTTATTTTATTAATCTAAAGCTAGTGAAGCCTTCAAGCCACAGTCAAATTTTACTTACAGGATATGAAAGAATGGAACAAATTATAACAGACTCAGACTAAGTATGAGAAAATGTAAACATTTACTGAGATAGAAAGTGTTAAATGAAAACATCAAGTTATGAGTCAATAGTTAAGTATCTTAATCAGTTCAAAATATGGAGGGAGAAGATTTACTAATTTAAGTGTTCATCTATAAATGCTGACATTTGTGCTTTTGAAATAAGAAAAGTTTATGTATTTAAGAATTTAAGAAGTTATAGATTTATCTTTTTTCCCAGAAAATCTTTATATACTAGGTAGTTAAATACCACAGTTCAACTGACATTTCTTAGAACTATGATTCTCAAAGAGAAGCTGGAATAGGAATGAAACTTTTCTAAACTTTATCCCCCTAATCCATTAGCTTTACTTCTACCATTAGGTGAGAATCACTGTCAAAGCAAACCACTCTTAATGACCAGGAAGTGGATATATACCTCAGGTATACCACATAAGAAAAAACAATTATGAATTTCTGATAAAATGTATAAGGCCAAAGCAAAATGCAATAATAGGAATGTTTTTGTGGGACTTAGAATTCACGTTTTTGTTTGGCAGTGATGGGAATTTAACCCAGGATCTCATTTTCACTAGGCAAGCATTCATTCTCCCACTGAGTATTAGCCATAGCCCTAGGACTTAAAATTCAAACTACTAGTTCCATAGAATGAAAACATTCATACAGATGTCTAGGGGAGTCAAAATTCTAAATGTTAAGAAGTAATAACTACGGTAGAACACATACTTGGGAGATACTGTTAAATATAAAAGAAATTGAAAAATCAGTTCACACATGGGTGTTACCAATTAGCGTTGGCTTGCTGCTAGCAACGAGATGCTATCATTTCTCCCTGTTTTACTTCCAATCATAAATAGTGCTCACATATCCCACTTAAAAGTTTTATTAAAGTAATTTTCCTAATGTCCAATAGACTTTCACATTCAAGGAGCTATGTTCCAGAGGACTAGAGTTCCTTAGGAAACTATGTTTCAATACCAAACAAGTGGGTTTCTTAGACAAATTAATATCATATTTTAAGACTGAAAATGACACCTTAGCAACATTTTCAATTCATATATGTTTTAAAATTAATTAAGGTTCTTTGAATAATGATCGTGAAAAAATAGATTTTCTCAGATATAAGGAACTATTCTGGAATATAAAGCACTATTCAATAAGTGTTGAAAATAGCTATTTTTTCCTGAATATGCTTATAACTACCAAAATGTCTACTGAGGAAAGGTATGGTGGTACATGACTATAATCCTAGCTACTCAAAGAGGCTAAGACAAAGGAAGGCAAATGCAAGGCAAGAAAAACTCTACAAAATAGGCCACTTAGCAAAACAGTCAAAAAATAAAAAAGGCTGGAGATGTAGGTCAGTAGAAGTCTACTAATTTCAGTTCCCAGTATCACCAACACACACCAAAATCTCTCTAATGACTGTTAGATACAATTATCATGAAAAGTTTTGTATTTGTTATACTGAAAAGAAAACCAGTTACTCCAGTTTATACAGAAACCTCCATCTAACAAGTATAAATAATTCATATGGAATAGACATCTTAATGAAACATTTTTTATTCATTCCATTTATCACTGAATCTTGCTTAACTTTATTCTTCATTTATTCATTCATTCGTTCATTCATTCATTTATTTGAGACAGGGTCTTGCTATACAGTTCTGGCCAGCCTTGTGCTCACTTTTGTAGCCCCCAAAAGGGGTTGAACTTGAAGTGATCCTTCAGTCTCAAGTGCTGGGATTACAGGTGTGCGTCACCACACACAATTTCAGGGCCAACACTGCATGCAGGACTGGGAATCAAACTCAGTCCCCTGTGCTTGCCAACTAGGTGCTTATGCCTCTGAGCTATCTCTCCTGATCCTTCTCTTACCTTTAGGCTATTAACTCCAAACACTTTTGGAATTGTAACATCATTATTTAAGCTATTCAACAATGTTCTATACTACTAAAATACAAAAGGAACTTTTTTTACATTTTCATGCCACCTTCAAATATATGTGGAGAAATCCTAGAATGTCACAAAACCAATATAGATTAAGTAAGGGCCAGCAAGATAGCTCAACGGACTTTGGGGTTCGATCCTTTGTCCCGCATGCTGCGCTGGTCCTGCCCCTAGGACATGCTGAGCTGTTGACTGAGTCTGGGCCGTGGTGGTACATGCCTGTAATCCCAGCACAGGGAAGGCTGAAAACAGGAGGATCACTGCTAGTCCGAGCTGCATAGTGAGACCCTGTACCAAATACATAAATGAAAAAGACAGACAGACAGACAGACTGACCAAATGAATCTTGCACATGCCCAGTAATTACTGGCAACCCCAGAGGACTCCACTGAGAAACCCACCAGAACAGTACAGTGTACACAACAGAGCGCACTAGCTGATAAATTAATTTGGTTCAGATGTTCCTCAGGAACATCTTGAACACCTTGTTCCTTGACAGGGACAAGGATCAAGTGAACTCAGCAGATTAGGGAGCCAAGTTCTGGTCTCACAGCCAGAAATAAGCCTGAACTTCAGTGGAACTAAAGGTATAGGCTTGTAGGGGGGATCCACTAACCCCCTGTACAGCTACAGCTAGCCTTCTGGGATTAATCAACTCAGATGTGGACCTGTCTGGGTACATTGTCTCCCAGTGATAGCAGAGACACATGCAGAAGTCAACAAATTTTTTTTTCTTCCTTTTGGTACCAGGAATTGAACTCAGGGAACCTTGCACTTGCCAGGAACTTGTGCTGCTGAGCTCTATCCCCAGTCACAAATTTTGCTTATTCTTTTTTTTAATTTTTTCTCTTTCCTTGTGTTTTGTTTTATTTGGTTTTTCCTTGTTTGCGCTTATATGAGTATGTACTTAGTATGGTTTGTGTACAGGAGTCCCCCAAAGCCTCAAGCAGTCATGTGGTGGCTTCTGGAGTTTGTGATTGATTATTATGGGTGTGGATGCTACAACTGCCCTGGGGCAGGTAACTTGCATTTCAATGTAAGGAGGGAAGAGAAATTAGCTGCTTGAGCTACTGCCACTCCTGCATTTCTCTCTTGCTCTTTGTTGCCATGAAAGGTTGTTCTCTGCCTCAGAGCCAGCTAAGTATGGACTAAAACCTCCAGTAACTGTGAGCTAAATAAACCTTTCCCTCCTTTGAGTGTCAGGTATTTGTCCCAGCAATGAGAAAAGAGTAACTGAGACAGTAGTGTTTCTAGTTTTGTTACTATGATGTTCTGTTCTTTTTTCCCCCTTTTCTTTCCCTCATCTTCTTCACCAGTTTCGCAAAGTTTGCATGATTATCCTTTCTCCTCTAGCCTTGCTTCTAATCTTTTTCTATTTCTCTGTTTTCCCCCAATCTCACTGAAAATTTCTCCCAAGCATAAAATCACCATATTAAAGGTTATTGCACAGAACTTTCTAGTTCATTTTAGATTTTGTTATACAATCACAAATTTAGTTCATAAGTTAAAGGTGGCAAATTAATAGCTACCATGGATTGTCATTTTTTTAGTCTGCTTCATGCTATTGTTATTGCTGATTACTTAGCCCAGGTGACATAAATGTTCTAATCAGTTGTTCTTTCTGGTATATCAAGAATGAAATTGCCTATGGGTCATAAAAAATACCTTAGGCCAGTGCCAAAGAACCAGGGGCTGGGCCAAGTAGGTAATAACTTCTCATTCCCCAATGAATTTAAGAGGTAGAATTTTGCAGCAGACTCAAAACCCAAAAGCCAGCTATACCTGGAAAATATCTCTTAGTAGCCAAGTCTAAGTGTTCTAAATATTTTCAGTAAAGCAACTACCCATAAGCAATTTAAAAACATCAACCCAGAAATTAAACTAAAAAAAAAAAAAAAAAAAAAAGACACTTAAACAAGATCCAATCCCAGACTTCCATTTCATCATAGGCAAATGCAGGGGGCAAGGAGGCATAACAGTCTGAGAGCCACACATCTGGACTCTCTGAAGTGATAACAGTGAAAGTAACAAAGCTGATGAACAAAGCTCTAGAAAAAAAAATCAAACCAAAAATGATTTCTCAGATAAAAGACATGCTTGGGGGCTGGTGAGCTAGCTCAGCTGACTAAAGGGCCTGCTTAGGCAAGCTCAGGCAAACACAGGGACTGTAGTTCAATTCCTGGCATCACATGCCAGGCCATCCCCGCCCCCAGGGCGGGCTGAATGAGCCACAGAGTCTAGGGATAGTGGTGATGCCTGTAATCCCAGTGTTGGGGAGACTGAAAACAGGAGGATCACTGAGTTTAAGCTGCAGCTGCGTATTAAGACCCTGTAACATTAAAAAAAAAAAAAAAAGAAAGAAAGACATGGTTAGTGACTCTAAAGCAGATACAGATTTTTAAAAAGGGGGGGAGCTTAGGAAGTGAATGCTCAACATAGGAAAGAAATGGAATCCTTAAAAAAAAAAATGGTATCCTTAAAAAGATTCAAACAGATATACAAGAGATTAAAAATTTCATTGAAAATATACACAGCCAAATGAGCCAATAAAAATACAAACTATCAGAAGAAAACAGGATTATGGTTAGTAATGATGAAAAGAATGAATTCTTAAAAATAGCAAGGGACCATGAGAAAACAATCTAGCAAATGCTAGATGATGTAAAAAAGAACAACATAACATAGATCAGACTCAATGAAAAAGCAGGAGATGGTACAAATCACATTAAAAACCTGTTCACAGAAGTCATAGCAACCATGTGGCACACACCTGTAATCCCAACACTCAGGAGGCTGATGCAGAAGCATCACCACAAGTTTAAAGCTATCTTGGGCTACTCAGTTAACTCAAAGCCAGGCTGAACCACACAGTAAGACCCTGTCTCAAAAAACAGTAAAACAGGATGAGGGAAAAGCTCAGTGCAATAAAAGCATACCTGGCAAACGCAACGTCCTGAGTTCAATCCCTGGTACCAAAAGAAAAATAAAATAATAATAATAAAACAGTAAAATTTTTAAAAATAAAGTCATGGGGCCGGGGAGATAGCTCGGTGGCCTAAGCACCTGCCTGGCAAGCGCAAGGACCTGGGTTCAAACATTGGTAACGTACACCATGCTGGTCCCACGCCAAGTTGGCCACTGAAACTGGGTGTGATGGCACACACCTATAATCCCAACACTGGGGAGGCTGAGACAGGATCACTACGAGTCTCAGCTGCATAGCAAGGCTATGTACCAAATATATAAATAAATAAAAGAATAAAAATAAATAAATAAATAAAGTCATGGCAGAAAAGTTCCCAAACAGGGCTGAAGAATTCAATATACAAGTAAGTAAGGCATATAGAACTCCAAAGCATAGTCAAGATCCTAGAAATTCAACACAAGAACAGAATATTAAAAGCTATGAGGAAAAAATAAATAAAAATAAAAGCTATGAGAAATAAATAAATAAATAAAAATAAAAGCTATGAGAAATAAATAAATGCTATAAAAGAAAAGAAATAATAAAGACTGAGAGTGCCTTAACATCATAAAAAAATATTATAGGCCAGGGCCTATAAAGGAAAACCCATCAGAATCACAGCAGACTTCTCAATACAAACCCTCAAGTCAAGGAGAGCTTGGAGTAAAGTATTTCAAGCCCTAAAAGAAAGCAATCTCCAATCCAGATTGATGTACCCAACAAACCTATCTTTCAAAATTGATGGACAAATAAGATACTTCTACAACAATAACAGAAAATTTATAACCACCAAATGACTAGCTCAAAAAGTTCTGAAAGATATTCTAGAAAGATAATAAGGACTACAACTCCATGAACCCCAAGAGAATGAATCCATCAGGCAAGGCATTAAACAGGGAGAAAAGGAGAGCCAACAACAGGAAAATAACAGGACAAAGATAAGTCAATCTGTAGCAATTACAACTGTCAATGTTAATGGTCTCAATTCACCAATAAAAAGAGAAAACTGTTACATATTAATATAAATAAAAGAAACACAAAACCAAATCTATTTTGAGGAATTTGGATTCTAATTCAAAGAGAACCATAAAAAGAAATTAAAGCAAGATAGGATATCTGATTACAGACTGAGTTATACAATGCTATGAAACTGTTAGTTTTATGTGTGATGATAGCACTGCAGGGAAATAAGATGTGGATACATAAAATGGTCAATTAGAAATGCATGTTGTAGAATGTCTAGAATTAGCTTTCAAATCCTTCAGTGAATTAAAAAGGGAATAAATTTTTTAAAAATGAAATGCTGGCTACATTTTAAGATGCTGGTAACTGATAACTCTGTATGATGGTTATGAGATTTATTACACTTTTTCCAATTTAAATTTAAAATTTCTGGGGCTGGTGAGATGGCTCAGTGGTCTAAAGCACCTACTTAGAACAAGCTTAGCAAAG